AAATTCCAGGCGTCCCAGATGGGATACAGCCCTTCCGGGGACTCTGCTCGACCCGTCCTCAGCGCCGGCGCCCGGCTGACCTGCGCTGGCACGGGTTAATCCGGAAGGCTCCGAGAAGACGCCATGGCGAGTAGGACCATCCCGTGACGAGACACCGCTCGGCTCCCTCACGCTCCCGGGGCGATGGAGGTGTCGGTGCTCGCTGTGGCGTCTTCGGCGGGCGGCACGGTGGCGCGGCGGGGTGAGCGGCCCAGATCTACCACACGGTAGATCAGACCCGCCACCAGACCCCCCAGCAACGGGGCAACCCAAAACAGCCACAGCTGAGACAGGCTTTCAACACCCCCGATAACCGCGGTGCCGGTGGAGCGGGCCGGATTCAGCGACCCGCCGTCGAAAGGCGCCAGGATGGTGAGCAGGAAGGCGAAGCTCGCCCCGATCGCCACCGGGGCCAGGACCGCGTTGGCCCGTGGGGCTGTCGAGCCCAGGACCACGAGGACGAACAGCGTCGTCGCCACGAACTCGACCAGAAGCACGGTGGACCAACCGGCTTGGGAGGTGGAGTTCTCCCCGTAGCCGTTGGCCACCGCCCCCAAGGCCTGGGCGGTGGTGGAGGCATCAATCAGTGTCATCAGCACCGCCCACAGCATGCCCACCGCGACCAGCGCCCCGAGCACCTGGGCCACCACGTAGCCGAGGGCGACCTTGGCCGGAGTGCGCCCGGACACGACCGCCGCCAGGGTCACTGCCGGATTGAAGTGTCCCCCGGAGACGTGTCCAAAAGCCACCAGTACCGCCAGCAGCCCCAGCCCGAAGCCCAATGCGGAATCAATCACCTGGGTGGCGAAAATCCCCGTGCCCACCCCAGCGAAGACGAGCACGGTAGTACCGGCGAACTCCGCCGCCCACCGGGCACCGGCAGACGGGGCCCGGCTCACCCCGACGGCGACGGACTCTTTGCGCACCGCATCCGGGACCGGGGCCACCAGATCCTGGAAGTCGGGGGCGGCCGTCTCCGCAGCACGGGCAGGCGCGGTGGATCCC